ATTTCGGCCTCATCGAATTTAAATGTGTGGCCGGGTCTCGTCGAATGAGCCGCAACTTGAGAGCTGGCGTCATTTCTGCGCACCGCTGCCGCGTGTTCGGCCATTCTCGTTCGGAGCTATCTTCCGGTTTCTCCGACGTAGTTGCTTTGTCCGCAACTGCACCAGACCCTTCACGACAAGCTTGCTGCAATCTCTCCAGAGCTGGAACCGAGCTCTCGACCACAGTCACGCGGTTCACATAGCTTTCATTGATTTCCATAAGGCGTCCGACACTGTGTCACATCAGAGACTGTTACACAAGCCGAAGATAATAGGGAACAAAGCAACTTCTTCAATTGGATCGAACACTTCCTTGTGGGTCTACAGGAGGTTGTGTGCATTGGTCAAGGAAAATCAGATCCTGCCGTGCTCGAAAAGGGTGTTCCCCACGGTTCAGTATTGGGATCCTCTTTGTTACTTATGTACGTGGACGATTGCGCAAGAGCTTTGGACTGCGAAGTAGCAATGTTCGCAGGCGACATAAAGCTATGGAGTGTAGTTCGGGTCCTGCCGACGGAGACAGGGTGCAGATAAACCTAAATCGGTTGGAAGAATGGTCAAACAGATGGCTCCTTGGGTTCCACGTTGGCAATCATAGCATACTTCGCCTAGTCAACACAGCCAGTGCCGCCAGCACAATAGACTACTTTCTGAGTGGTGCAACACAACGAGAAGTCAAAGCCCAAAAGGACCTCGGTGTGATTACGACGAGTTCCCTAAAACCATCCGCTCATTGTTTGAGAGTGGCAAAAAGCGCAATGTCCGTACTATACGCCAGCAAGCGTGCGTTTATGGATTCTGAACAAGATGCTTTCCCAAAGACATTTGGAACATTCGTCCGGCCGCACTTGGAATACGGCATACAAGCCCGGAGACCGTGGTGGTTAAAGATCTAATCTGATTCTAAAGACTTGAGAGGAGAACCACGAACATGGTTAGAGATCACAGCCCATTTCCTTATGCAACCCGCCTAATAAATCTGAACCTCTTCCCTTTGAGTTACAGGCAACTTCGCGGAGATCTCTTGCACGCATTCCTCATAGCGAAAGGTTTGGATTGCAGCCTGACCTCCGAGGACATTTTTGAATTTGTTAGCACGACCAAACTCCGAGGTCACCGGTTTAACCTGCATACTCAGCTGGCAAGGCTGGATGCGCGGAAGTCTTACTTCTCTGTTCGAGTGGTCAAACCATGGAATGCTCTTCCTGCGGGTGTTGAAATATCATCATCGATACAAAATTTTAAAAAGAAACTTGATACTGAGACTCACCTTCCTTTTTCTGAATCCGTCCTGGAAATCGGAATGTAGATGGTTCTGTTCAAGGAACTTCATCAATTGGCTCTTAATTGTTTTCTCCATAATCTTGCAGGAAATAGAGGTGAGGCTAACCGGTCTGTAATTTCTTTGTTGACACCTGACTTCTGCCCTTATACAGAGGCGTAATCCACACCGATTTCCCGTCGGATGGCAGATGCCCGGCCACGAAGGATGCATGGAAAAGCATAGAGAATGGTCTGCTTAACTCACCGGCGAGTTCCTTCAAAATCATTGCAGCAATCTGATTGAGACCTCGTGATGTTGATTCCTTTAGCTTCATCAGCTCCATCAGAATCATGCCCCAAGTGAACTGAACGGTCTCAGTAATTGTGGCCTCTTCGAAGTCACTCACAGGAGGATTAAATCTAGCACCCCTACTAAAAACAGATCGAAAAAACTCTGAAGGATGATCAGCCTTCATTCTGTCTTCAGTAAGATTTTCACCTTCAGCAGTCCTTAGCAGCGGTATTGGGTCCTTGTAAGATATGCTTTGTCTGATGTAACCGTAGGATAATTTAGGGTTCTCCGCGGCAGGGTTAAGCAAATACAGTTCTGTGGATAAGTTTCTTGACTCGATTTCTTTGAACTTTGTTCGCACTTATGGATGTGGGACTCCTGTCAGAAAGCGTTTTTTTCCACAGCCTTCGCATTTTATTCTCCTCATTCTTCAAGACTTGCGTCTGTTAGTAAAACTCTTTCATGAGAGCGGACAGTGGCTTGAGATAAGCTTGTGCAGTATTTCTCGGAACCGTTGCCAGTCTAAGAGAATGTTTCCAAAAAATACGGACTCCCAGTCAATGCCTGTAATGTCAGCACACATATGGTTAAAATCCCGGCGCCAAATGTTTCTTAGAACTGTTATAGGTCTCTCGGGC